AAGTAAAGCTTTCGGCGCTGACTAAATCCATGAGGGATATTTGCCTTGGGGTGTTCATGGTAGAATGCCATCACCACAAAGACAGTCAAAACAGCAAGGAAAATCGCTAGGAGGAGTTCCATCTCCCTGGACTGTTAGGAACCAAATGGAAGAACCAGCTGTGGCGTCTGTTTCCCTCTGACTTTTGAAGTATTTCTGAAGGTAAAGGCACATGATTAGCAATTTTCTTCACATCCCATCATCCAGCTTTTAAAAATGCTAATAGGAAGATGAAAACATGTGGCAATCAAACCATACAATTAAACAGACAGTAACAATTAGTCGTGGGAGAGGCTTGCATAAGCAGTTTCTTGTATTTGCAGCTAACATGTTTTGAGTCTGTGCCCATCACCATAGAACCAGGGCTTGATAGATCGTTTGTAGCGTCAATGTTATGAGAAGACAAAAACTTGTTCTCTCTCTCCCTGTTTCTTGAATACAGTCAGGTCTATATCATTTCTGAGCTCTTGTGAGTTCCTGTGGAACAGGATTTCTTAGTAGTCGCCTTCAGAGCTGCTCAGTTTCTTGTTTTATTGTGCCTCAACACCTTACTTCTTCACACTTCTAGTGAAATCAAGGTTTCAGTGTCACAAACACATTTCATCACGTTTGCTGTCTGATTTTGCACAGGGCTGTGTTGTTGCATCTTTGTTGGAACCAGAAGCTGCCGCAGCCTCGTGTCAGTGCTTTGCATCTCGCTTCGTCCTCCTTGAGAGCTTTTCTCCAGCGGGTAAAAGCCTGTGGTACCAAATCTTATGATTGTTTGGGTTGGGTTTGGTTTTTTAACGGCACCTTGGTTGAGCCTTACAGTACTGCGGTCTCTGTCTTCTCATGGATACATTACTTATATATTACTTACAGGTGTCATTCCAGGTAGAATTATGATTCCAGCTGATGAAAACTAGACTTGGACTTCATGGTTTCGGTGCTAGTAGCAATGACTAGATATCAGCACCTTGCTCTTTTCTGTATATACTCTGTGGTGAGCCCTAGGATCTGTGCCTTCCTCTGGAACAAACCTATTTTTCAGTACACAAATCATTAGCGCTAAGATTTCAGCTGAAACAAAAAATCTGTGAAGCAAAGCTTTTTCAGCTCATATGATGTCACCTTTGGGAACAGTGTATTTTTACCAGTCTGCTCAAACTATGAAGATAACAGATTCTCACTCTGAAAAATATCAGTGTGGGTAAAATAAGTGTGTAAGTTTTTCCTTAAAATCAGCTCATCCCTCATAATTTTTTTTTGAGATATATATTTAAATGAAACTGAACATGGACAATCCCAGAACTTTAGAATGCAGGATCCATGACCTGTGCAGGAAGGAAGACCTCAGACTTGATTCCTGAATTTAGAAGCTGTTTATTAATTCTTTAAAATAAACAGGAAGGAACATTTTGGAGTCTGGTGATACGCTGTGTGATAAGAAGCTGATTCTGTGTTCTGCCCCCTCTGCCCAAACTGTGTCTTCATTTTTTCCTACAACTCTTTGTGGACTTTCATTTCCCAATGTCTCCGTTCCCTCTCCCTCCCTCGCCACAAGGCTGTTTACATCCTAAGTATAAAATCAGGTTCCTTTTTATTTATTCTTCCATGTGGCACTTGATAGAGTTGCCCGGCTTGATAAGGGATGTTGGTGAAATACACATTGCCTGGTGATTGGGACACTCTCTTGGGAAATGGAAGTGGTGAATTCAAACCGGTCAGGTCTGAGGTGTGTGTAGGATTCAGCTTCCTTATAGCTCGCAAGATCGTGGGGAAATACTGTTACACAAAACATGGTTGCAGCTCCTTTCTTTAGAGTTGAATAGTGAAAGTAGTTAATCGGTTTTGTGCTAAACTGTGCTGTCCCAATGAGTTAGGTGTGGTCTAAGTGAAGTGTACTTATCAGATTTGGCCCCTCTGGGGACCTAAGAAGTCCTCTGACACTTGTGGCAGATCCTTTGTACTAAGGTTCTTGCCACCTATTGTTCATCTGTTTTCGAAACCTATTTGGTGCCAGTCTTTACAGTAGCCACTTCACCAAGTGCTGGTAGGTCTTGGGTTCTTCTGGGCCAGTTAAGTAGGTCCAGACATCCCAGCACTCCCACCAGCCCTGGAGGCTCCCCACAAAGACTGGATGTTCTGGAATCCAGTATCAGCTGGAGAAGAAACAAACTAGTTGGTTCTTGAAGTAATAAACTGTTTTTTCCCTTTGGGCATTGCAGTTATACAAGGTAATGATTCAGTGATTCTATTCTAATAACAGAGTAATACTTAAATGTTTTATAAGCATAGACTCAGCAATGTACAAGCTTGCTTGAGTCCCAGGATGGAGACCCGTTCCCTAAATAATCTTTCAAATCTATGCTCTCTCCAGCTTCTGATTTTTAACCTTATCTCTTGCTCCTGTGGGATGGACCAGTGGAATTGATTCCTGAGGCCAAAATCCCATTTTGTCCTACCCAGGAACTCCTTTTCTTATTAATTTCCAGTGAAGAGCTAAATATCAGTGCCTGAAATCTTGTCAATACTGGGTTGGCCTCTTTAAGCTTTTTCTCTCTTGTGTCACTGCACGCACTCGGGGAGGCAGAGACTGAGCCAGTTGCAACAGATATGGAATATTCTCTCACGTAGTCTTCAGGTGGTGCCAAAAACTCTCTGCCTGTCATGGTGGTGATTAGGTGGCAACTGGGTACTCACCTGCTTGGACTCGGACACACCGAGTGCTAATGGATGCCCATACTGGGATACTGGAAAACGTTCACCAGAGAAGGTGCTGCTTGACCCAAGAAGCTCCTTTTGGGCGCTCCGGAGCGTGAGAGCCATCTGCTGCTTGAAGTCTGAACTTGAGAACTGAACTAGCCTGGTCAAGTCCTCGCCAACATGCTCTGCCTGCCCACTCACATCTGTGATTATTTCTCTGGATGCATAATTCCTGGTGGAAGGACATTGATGTGCATAATTCTGAAGGTGCACTGCAAGTTTGTGCTTGATTGTGTTTTAACTACTTGACTGTAGCTCATTGAACATGCAGAGAGATGAACATGCTGTCAGGAAGTGTCTGCGGAAAGAAGCTAGTAAAAATTATTTTCTGTCTTTCCCTAGAAAGAAGAAAAATCTTTAAATGAGTGATAATTTTGAAAACTAATTTCACACTTTGGGAACTATAAAATATCTTCAAATGAACAAAAATTCTATCTTAGCAATGCAAGACACATAGCAGAGCTGTAATTATTTAAATAAGTTAGAGGGCAGGAAGTTCCATGGAGACAATTAGATCTTGCAACTTTCTAAATTTTAGAAAATATGGGAGTTGCTACTAAAAAAGGAATACATTATTTCAGCACTTGCTGTTCTCTCCTTACCCATCTGCGCTACCGTGGTTATAACCCTCAATACTGATTAAAATGTGTGTATTCAAGAGAGCTAATAATTCTGCTGATGTATTATAAATTTATTAATATTTGTAGTAAATTAAGACCTACAGACCATGGAAGACTCTCAGGAGTAGACCAGTGTATAGTTTGGACATTGAGCCATAAATGAGGCATAAGTACAGAGACTGAATAACAAAACGAAAACAAGTATTGGATTGCTGAAGTGACAAGGACATCATACGCGCTGCACTGAATGATGTGGGTGAAATAGTCTGTGATCATCTCCGAATTTAAAACATACAAAGTGAGATTGTGTGGAAATCTTTGGTTCTGGCACTTCCAACCATCTCTGTACCTGCCAGGAATCATCAAAAGAACAAGCCTGGTGCAGAAGATGCAAAGAAGAGTGATACATGAATAAAAATGATCTTAAATACAGATAGGCCTAATGATGCTCACAGGTTTAACTGAAGTTCACAAAGTCATCCCCAAACTAAGTTTGGGATGACTCATGTACAGGTAACAGCACAGCCCTGGCAGAACAGACATGGATTAATTGCTCAAATATTATCCAGCTTTTTGCACAGCTTTTACAGCAGATACTGACTCTGGCCTCGTTTCAGCCACCAACATGTGAACTGATAAACCAACCTCCCTCCGAGGTCAGAAACCAGAATTTCCCATCAGGTTGTTAAACCAAGACAGGTCCTACAGTGTTCCAACAGTGGAACATTTGGAACTTTGCCTTGTTATTTACTCCTTTCTTTTGCTAGAAAAATTAATAGGAAAAATGAAACAAAATATCTGTTGTGTCAACAGGGTGTGGAGAAACATAATTCCATTTTGCTGAGAGGGACCAGAGAACAAGTATTCACAAGTAAGGACTTGTTGCTGCAGAGATTTGTAACTGCTCGCTTGTCACCATATTTAATTAATACGGTGACAAGGTGCAGAATTTAACCCACTATTTTCTTCCTACTCAGGTTTGCCTGGCAGAGAACGCAGGTAGGTACCAACCTCTTTCCACACTTGTGTGTGCACAGATACAGCAAGTGCGAGGTGGTTGCATAAGAGTGATGAAATATTTTACAATTCCTGGGCGTTGCGTGGCAGTGATTTTGACACGCCACAGCAGTTACCTTGGGATCTGTGTTTAGCAAAAGTGGATCTGTCCTAATAAGCAATGTAACAACTGAACTGGGATTTTTTCTTTTTTCCTTCATGTTTTTGGATTTTCGCATACATCATTTTGGCAGCTTCCATGCTGTTTACATCCTTTCTCCCCAAATTCTGAGTAAACAAGTTGCTTATTTATCTGATTACAAAAAGGCAAAACCCACCATGGCTCTGTCTTCCCTGAATACAACCAAATGCAGAGGAGAGGGTGAGAATCATGCTGATTTTGTGTGTGTTTTGTGGATATGCGTATGTACATTGCTGATAACTCTTATATTGTATGCTTTAAAATGTTTTTTCTATGGTGATTTTTTATTCTTTCACGTGAGAAGAGAACAAAAATTCTTACAACATAAGAAAAGAACAGGAAAACAAGGATACCAATTAATCGATTTAAAAAAAAAAAAGGTTAAAAAATACATCATGCTCCCAAGTAATAGCAATTGAAAATCAGAATTCAGCAGACCATGCTGTATTAACTTATTTCTTGCCTAGATTCTAATGTACAAACAACTAATAACTAATTAATTGAAGTACACTCTGGCTGCATAGCAGCTCACTGTGTTCAATAGCCTTTTATAAAGTTTACAGTGAAGTTCATTATTTTACTTGATGATGGAAAAGAGAAAATACCATAACCAAAAAATCCCAGTGCACAGTGGAAGCCGTCGTCCATGTGGTACCAGCTCACTTTTACGTTGTTGTCCTCTAAGCGTTTCTTGTACAAGAGTCCATCGTCTCTGAGCACGTCGTGCTGGCAGGTGATTATACAGGTGTCGGGTAGGCGGCAAACAACAGCATCTTCTGCTAACAGGGGGGAGAGCCTTGTCTTCAGCAGCTCTTTTGTTTCTTCATGGACTCCAGGTAAAAATGAAGCGGGTAACGGTGGTTTATAGCCCAGTTTAAATATCTCTGGGATAAGATCTGGATTTATCCATTTCCTGTATTTCAAATTCATGCTCTCGGGAACATGAGAACCTGCCAAAACAGCTTCCTTCACAGAGCAATCCTTGTTCAGGTACTTCAGCATGTAACAGACTGTGCGTTCCCGGGACAAGAAGGCAGTGAAAGCGTTTTTCTGGTGAGACGGCAAATTGAAGTTTACTGCTTGGAGAAATGGGTAGACCAGTACCTGGGCACGTATCTTTGGGATATCTGTTCTGTTTACCAGTTCTTGGCAAACAGTAGCAGCAAAAGTGCCCCCTGCACTATCCCCACAAGCAATAATCCGAGCAGGATCCACCCCGTAGTTCTCTGAAGTCTTCAAAAAGTGCTCAGTAGCCGCGAGACATTCCAGAGTCTGGGCTGGATACTTGTACTCGGGAGATAAGTGATACCTGAAAGGTACAAAAGACAGCAATTACTGCAAACACTTATAATGGTAAATTCCTTGAATGTGTCATCTTAAATGCATCCATGGATTATCTATTTGCAAAAAATTCATGAAACCCAGTATTACCTAGTTTAAGGCTTTGCACGCTGAAGCAAACCAGAAGCTTCCCCTCCCATTTTTCACAAAATGCAGGTACCATTGACCACTGAAGTTTATTCCAGCAGAATTTAAGAGCTCGAGGGCTTGAGTGGTGCAGTCCAGTCACCCACATTGTGCAAAGCTACACGTTTACCCAGTTCCTGATGTGATTGTACCTGCCTGGGATCCCAGTTCCTCCCAGCAGGGAAATCTGGGATTCTCTCTCTGGGCCAGACTCTGTACGTATCGCTGCCCACAGGAGCCAGCCAAGTTCTGGCTCCCGAGCTTTGTCCAACGGGGACACACTTAGAGCTGCAGACTCTCTAATTCTGGGGGAAACACCAGGTGGAGCTCACTTACCCGACAGACACAACCACTGAGTCAGCTTTTTGGGCTATGTGTCGGCATATTCTTTCATAACTTCCTGAAGAACAAATGTTGTTAATGAAATTAATATCTAAGAATAACTGAAGCAATATTGTCCCTTATTTTTTATGACATATTACCATGATGGATTGTGGGGCACTTGCCTATTTAATGAGCTACCCTAATTTTCTCTAGGGTAAAAATAATCTAGACTTTTGATCATCGGGACACACTGTAAAGTTCATACATTTTGGGAGACTGTTGATGTGTAAGGAAACTAAGGAATTATTATTAGGATTGTTGCTATTAGACAATGCAATGGTTTTAAAGTGGGAGAGGGTAGAACTAGATTGGATATAAGAAAGACGTTTTTTATGACGAGGGTGGTGAGACAATAGAACAGGGTTCCCAGAACAGGATGTCCCGTCCCTGGAGGGGTTCAAAGTTGGGTTGGATGGGGCTTTAAGCAACCTGCTGTACTGGGAGGTGTCCTTGCCCAGGGCAGGGGGGTTGGAACTCGATGATCTTTAAGGTCTCTTCCAATCTGAACCATTCTATAATTATTATGCTCAATTGCTTAGAGTGGTTGTAAGGGATAAAATAACTTGAGATCTTTGTAAAAGCTTATTACATCGTTTTAGGTAACTGTGAGTTTGAGGCTGACTTATGTCAGTCATATCATTTTGACATGGAAATGCTAATTGTAGTACAATAGCTAAGGCTAAATGGATTTTGGTTTTGAAGCAGAGATTTGGCTATTTTCTGAAGAGTGTGGCATGCAGCTGGTATGCCCACTGTGAGATCAGTGTATCTCTGAGTGGCTGATTCAGGCAGAAATTTAAGGCATCCAAATTGTGTTATAGTAAATTGTCTGATTATATAAATATTCAATGGTAAGGTTGTGGGCAGAAATATGCCTCTTTTAATGTATTTTAAGACACATTGAGTTTTCCTTCGACCTTAATCTGAATTTGCTGCATTTAGACAGTTTACTTTACAGGTATTTGCTCAATGATATGTTTTTTCAATTATAGAATTCTAACACTATTTAATATGTGTGCACATCTACTGCCTGTAGAAACAGTACCTTTTAGAACTTTTTAAATTGTGTGTTTGCAATTGTCTGCTTTTCCTAAGAAATTAAACTGGAGAAAAAAGACAGTATAATTAAAGTACATGCATCATGGACACACGTTTTAAAATGGCTGCTACAGGCCAGTTGAATTGCCATTAACACTATTTATAGAAGTCTCAGTAAACATGTACAGTTAGAGATCAAAGGCAGAAATGCAGGTGTTAGTAGCATCTATATGGTTTTCAGACAAAAAATTAGTTTATTTCTTTAGCAGCACCACTTACTGTAATGAATATATATATGCCATAAAGAATGCTATATCCTATAAAAAATAATTTAGATACTAAATAAGGGCAGATTAGAGAGTTTAAAAAGTAAAAATAAACATTACGTGTTTTCTGTCTCTCAGTCTCTCAAACTAAGCTTCAACCACTTCTTGGGCTCAGAAGAGTTTTTAAAAATATATAGTTAACAGTCCTAAATAATGGTGTTTTCTCTTTCAGTTCCTTACTGATGCTTCCGAACATCCCGCATCCTCCATGGAAGAAGATGACTCCTCTCCGTTTGCCTGCAGATGGTGCTCTTGGGAGGTAAATCCTCACTGGCACCTCACCAAAATGCAGATCCTTTATGCAGAGCTGTGAGTCCCTGCACACTGGCAGTCCATCGAAAATCAGCCTTATAAGTACGTGCTCCTTAACGATGCCCAAACTTTGTAAGTTCTTTGCCTAGATAGATATAACAGGAAAAATGATAAAGTAGTATAGGCAATTCAAGGCTTCCCACTCTATAAAGGCCACAAGCTAGTTCTTTTATACTGTATTTAGGATAATTGTCTTGGTTATTTGCTACTTTTAGGATTATCACAAATAACAGTAGTGGCTTTGTGATTTCACTTATGAAAGTGAAAATGTACATCTTCATGATTTGAGGTACCATTATTTCTGGAAGAATGTTGTAATACTTGTTCCATTAACTGTATTATATAAATACCTTCTAATTTCTGTGATCTGGATTTACCACAAGTAACCTCAGGCATTTGCTTCGGTATGAAAGTTAGGAGTCATTTGGCCTGAGGCTCCTTTTCTAATCAGTGAAGAGAAAGAGGCATTTCTTGAGGATGGTTCCAATTTCAGGTGTTCTAAATCATCCTTTCGAGATGTCTGTTCATGTCCGTTGATTATAAGGGGAGGCTGTGGACTTCAGATGCCTCCATTAAAGCATTTAAAGTTGGGTGAGATGAAAATCCCTGATATATCGCTAGCGTGACAGCATTTAGAATACTGGGAGAAAAAAGACTCAGGCCAGTTTGTGTGCGAGATACAGAAACTTACTGGTCTTGGGTCATCTCCATGCCACAGCGTCAGTGACAACAAGCTTTAAGGAAAACCCTTAGTGCCTAGGATCTATGATGAAGGGCTGCTGGCCTAAATGATGAAAATGGTTGTGTATCTTATCTCCTTCTCCATCAGTGAAACTGTTGCTTTTATCAAGATCTCACAGGTATTTGTGAAATGACTCTACAGTTTCTTACATCTAGTCAGGGAAAACAAATTTTCTGAAGCCAGGGAAGGTTTGTTAAATGTGTCAAAACATTACCTATCCAAGGCCATGCAACTGCTGATAATTAAGATAGCCTGAAGATCACACTGGGATCCTCCTGTAATTTGAACATGTGTTGTCTCGGATGTATTTCCTGCTAGGGACAATATTTCCTTTCCCATTAAATGATGACATAATTGCCCTTATGGACAATGATAATTCATTCTTCTGGAATGATGATAATCATCACAAGCAATTTGCAAATTGTATTGTTCTCTTCTGAGCAACAGAAGTATCAGTGTACACTTATAAATAAACTATAAATAAACAATGGCCAGCTGTGCTTCTGTAAATTGTTCTTTCCAACCTTCTGTAGCTGGCCTTTAATTTAAATCTGCTCGGTCTGTCTCAGAGACAATTCAAATATTGGCCTTAGATAGTAATTTTGCTGTAAAAGAAAGAGAGTGAAACAAAGAGGCAGAATTTTCTTAGGTGCATGGTCCCAGCTATCACGTACATATGAAGCCAAATCTCACATAGTTCAAGTGTGTTGCAGCATCCAGTTCCTCACCAAGGCCCTTCTCAAACAGCACAGATTCTTTCTTCCTAATAATCTAGACCAGGCTGCAATAAACAATTTGGATGTGGAGTAATAAAAGAAACCACCATGAGTCATGGAAGAGAATCCCAGTTCCTGAAGACAAATGGATAGATACAGTTCTTGCCTTACATTTGAAAATGGACATTTTCAGGTATCATGGCAAAGGGGAAAATGAGTATAAGAGCCAAGGCAATCATGGCAGAAACCACAGGGTCAATATAACCTCCAAACAGCAGTCTTCAAAAACTCTTATGACTCTTAAGTCAGTCTTTTTGTCAGAGTGATGATTTTGTTGAAGGTGGCAGAATTGCCATACCATGTTTATTTAATCTCATTTGTATTTTCTAACAGCCCTGCTTTTTTGCAGAGCTTTCAGATGACAGATAGCAATATATATGATAAACTTGATTTCAGATCTTTCTATCTAAATATCCTCTTTCTTTTCCTCATATTAGGAGCTCCTGATGTCACAGAGGCATCTTCAAATTCAGAGAAAACACTGTCATGAAGGACAATGTGGTATGTATTCTGTTGAATAACTTATTGATCAATAACTACAAAATACTTCAGAACCAGTAACAATACACCCAAAAAAGAAAAGGTATGAAAGGTATTCTTAGACATATGTGATCAGTGTTAGTAGGTGAAACATATTATATAAACCAGGTTCTAAAATGTATATATGTGTAGAAAAAGAGTACCCGGCCCAGCATGTCAGCATACCTTTTCTTGTGAAATAGGGTCTTTGAAAAACTATTTGCTGGAACACCTACATTCTGGCACAAACTGGCTTTTTATGTGAAAGATCATATGGGGACCAGATTTTTACTTCAAAAATTATTATGAAATCACATACCAACTAGCAAAAACCACTCAATTTGAGCTTCATGGACTTCAAGACTACATTGGACAGTCTTTCTGTCAGTCTCTTTGTAGTGTTACACTTTGCCAGCCAAAATAATTATCATCAAAGCTTTGTATCGCAGTGCAATACACACAGTTAGTCTAAATACTGATCTGTATACATAGGTTAAGACAAAAGCTTAGAATGTGACCTAGGAGGGTTTCTCTCATCTCTTCCACTTGGGATTGTCATTGTTTTCTTTATGGCAGCGTGTGGATAGATGCGGCAGGAGCATTGTACATATGACACCCGTGCTGTAGAAGGTACACATTTAACTCTTGGTGCAGCTTTTCTAAGACATATCGCAAGTAAGGTGGGAGAAATGAGGAAAAGACTGTCTTGTCTTCCAGAAAAAAAGAGGTATTTAACATTTTCGGCACAAGAAGAGCAGCATTCATCAGAATGAGTGGGATGTGTTCATTGCACATGTGCAATGTAAAAAGTTTCGTGCTCTTTATAAGAAACCTCTAAAGTCCTCACTATGAGGACTACTTCTGTGACTATAAACATAAACCTAGAAATTCACCAAAAGTACCAGCAGATATCTAAGCGTTTTTGAAAGAAAATTAGGTATTAGATGGATTCATTGCATAGCAAATGGTGAAATTAATCTTTAAAACTATCCAGAAAAAGGAAGCTGAAGTTTCTGGAACATATTATCAATGAAGTTAGAATATGTGCCACTGCATAGCAGCCACTTAGAAGCTGTAAAAGCAGATAAAAAAAAAAATCTGAAAGAATCATTTCATCCAACCAAGTATAAAACATAGAGACCTTAATAACATACGGTCATATTATTCTATTATGGGCATATTATTATATTGAGTTTATATATAGCTTAACGTGAAAAGCAGTGTGAGATATTTAAGGACAGCAGGCTCTTTCATGCCAAATGTACCTTTCAGTGCAGAAAGGTACATGAGGCAAGGGCCATTGCAGAACGGGAGACAATTGCTGGATTTTGTGAGTGCTGCTACGTAAGAACAAGCAACTCACATAAGTCTTTAATACATTACAGTGCCCTAGATCACCTTTCAGGATATGGGCCTTAGTTACTCCATTCCTTATGTAGGGGATTAGAGGGTATCTGTGCTTGAGATGAGGTCTGTACAAACATTAATGAAACCACTCTGATTTTCCTGCAGGCTTTCTTTTGACATTGTTATGTGCCAGATGTGACAGGTCTTAGGCTGCTCTTAGGTACCCCTGTTGCCTTCTTTGAAAGCCTTTTGGGCAAAAGCTGTTTCTTTCTCCAACGGCAAAGCACACAGCACAGTGAGTCTGGCTTACAAGTACTTAAATGACAAGTGGTGACAGGTCTAGCTGAGCCTGCTTTAGCCAGGAGGTTAGACTAGATGACCTCTGGATATGCCTTCCAACCTACGTGATTCTATGATACTTAACTAAGACACAGCAATTCGTCACTGCAGAAATAAGAACAAAATCACGAGTAAGAAAATTACTGCAGATAGTTCAAAATCTAGGAAATTACCTTAAATATATCAAGGTGCACTGAGATACAGAAGGTTTGGTTATTATTAGTCATGTAAATTATATCCATAGCCTCCTGTCCTCCACAGGACCCATCATTTCATTACAGAAGGCACAAATTGCGGCATAAGAAAACATATCTCAGTATATAAAAGAACTCTCCTCATACTGGCTGCTTTTATATACAGTAATAGAACACCAAATCAAACTTTGGCCTTTATCTTTAAATCTGTGTTACAATGTGGTTCCCATTACAAATTGCTGCAATATTTAAATGCATATATTCATAGAGCTACTCAAGTTTTTCCTTTCCTGAAAATCCCAGTATCACAGAGCTTGATAAACTCACCAGAACTTCCAACAGAGTGTATACATAGTGGTACAAGCGGAGCTTTGATGGCTGGTCAGCATCAGGAGGAATCTCTACCTTGAAGGAATTATGAGAAGTTGCAATTAAAACCAATAAGACAAAAGCAACTAGAATCCCTGCTATTGAAGCCAGAGCATAAAAGGATTCCATTTTTCTTTGGTGGGATTTATTTATTGGAGAGCTGTTTGATACCCTTCTGTCAATATTTATATCCTCCAGACTGACTCTGCAGAGAAGTCATTTGCATACCAAAATTGTTCCGCCCTCCTCCTACAGAGAAGGCTGCCTGATGCTGGAAGCATACAAACATCCGGCTGCTGCAGCTTCATTTGTCCTGGTCAAAGTTAATACGTAGAACATTACAACATTAATTACAACCTCATTACAACTTTATTTAGCCTGGTCAAAGATAATACGCAGAACACTCACATCCAGGAAATGTCATTATTTTGTATATTCCAAAATTGCAAATGGACTTTATTTTTTTTTTTCTGGTTTAACTGTATTCTGCTTTATGGGCCTGACAAGCTATGTGTGATTTTTTGCACTAGTAAAAATGTGTACTAGTTAGGAGTGTGCAGCAAAGGTCACGGGGCTTACCAATGGTCCAGTGATACCAGATCTGACACCTGACAAAAAAGGTGAGTCCTTTCTAGCTTGTCTTATACTCATAAAAGAAACAAATGAAATATATCTGCTTAGAAAAATCCCATTTATGTAAAACATGCATTACAGGAAAGAGTGAGAAACTGTAATGTGAGTCAGTCAACAGGGGAAACAAATATTTATCTGTGTGGAATGAGAGTAAGGAGGATGAGTCATAAGAGATAAAGGACCGGATGATAAGGGTGACCAGTTTGGATTCTTAAGAGAATAGGTCCAATCACTAACTTCAGTGGAATTCAGCAGGTAGAACTGATGTGGTTTAAAATGAAAATAAATAAATAAATAGGTGTTAAAGGTAAGAAAACCATGAAATCCTTGTAAGTTATAACATGGAAGTCTCAGTTTAACTCAGCAGGCCGGGACCTTGTGATCATAGTAGGCATCTTTCTGGTACTGACTTGAATTATTTGCCTAAGCTGGGGACTAATTGATCTCTTCCGTCACTGTGAGGTATGGGATGCTTAACTGAGCCCTTCCCAACTTCCTGTTCCATCCACTAACTTGAATGATTTTTCTAAAAAAAAACCCACAACATAAATGAAAGCAAAAATTAAGGCTACATTTTATTCTGAGAAGGAATATCTATGTTGGGGTTTAATGAATTTCACTAATCCATCCTAAAATTAATAGGTTTTAAGTTCTGAATGTCCCTATATAGACATACTTTTAAATATGTTCAGACCATCATCAAAAATGCTGTGGGTTCTGTCTGAATGAAGAACCCAGTGTCCCTCTGTGCCTTTTTTTTAGCTCAGCGGAATTTACCAGAGATTTTATTTTCCCATCATCAATTTTTAATGCGATCTCATTCCTCCATGTCAGTTCATACAACTAAAGCTCATCCATCCCAGCCTTCCAACTGAAAAAGTTTGCCTTTGGCAACAGCATTCTCTTCCTGACATTCCTCTTCTTTTTGCCTTCCTTTCTAGAATTTTCAAGTTTGAAGAGGCTTATGACAGTTAAAGGACTTGAATTATTTCACCTCTGCCTGCACTAGTGAACCACCAGCTCTGAAAAGAAATTAGAGCTGCTTATAATGAGTTTTTTTAAAAAGACCTTGTTTGAAAGGATTTGGAGAACATTTTATCTAGAGATTTTTTCCTAAGCTAATTTACAAGCTTCCAGTGCAAACTTATTACAGGCACTAGCCTACTCTTCTGGTTTTGTCAAAATCCCTATCACGTTGGTTTAGTAAGATTTCAGTTCAGCCTCTTGAAACAATAACCTTCTCTAATTTTGAGAACCAGCCTTATGTACATAATTCTTCTGCCTCCCTGCTTCCGTGTGTGTCTAAGAAGTTTTGTCAGAACTGAGGAATTAATCAGAAGGAATGGTAAATACTGAGTGGCGTAAAAGTGAGGTAAATGTGCTAAAGAGAATGTAGGATGAGTCAATCAGTTTAACACAATGTAGTCACTCCAGTCCTGTTTACATGTGGTATTTTTTCACTGTTCTCTCTTCCAATATGAAGACTCAGGCTAACAGATTGAGTCAGATTTGACTCCTAATTAAAAATAGGTGAGAAAAAAGAAGGGCAGTCAGTACAAATGATAAAATCTAACCTGTACTGAAATGACTGAGTGATTGACAGAAATACCACATCCTTGCTGCAGCATCCCTTTGTCTGAATTCCAGGTAGTGCCTACACGCACTTTGAAAACACTGTACTCCTGCTTATAAAGACAATTATTTTTACACATGTTGAATCTAGGAAGGGAGGTAATCTAGAATTTAGGATTCCTCAGTAAGACGTGTGTTATATCTTTATTCATGGTACTGATCTGTTGTGAGACCCTGGGAAAGCAGTAAAACAGCCAAATGTAGCTTTTCACACAAGGCTAGACACAGACCGTTTTCTGTCAAGGCTGGAAGTTAAACAGAAACCTGGTCCCTTTGAGCCTAGTCCATGGCAAAAGTCCACTTACAAGGCAATAGTATCAGACTCTTAATACTTAATAACATCTAGAAGGACAGTGTGAAATCATAGAACCACTGGGACACATTTCAAATGGAAAATGTGAACTCAAGGGAAGAATGAAATCAAGAAGCACAAAAATTTAGCTCTTGATTTATCCAAATCTGACAGCAGCACTTCACATAACAAAAACCAGATCAGCTTGGCAAAAGGTTTTCCTTTTTTAAAGGAGGCTTAGTTTTAATCTGTGACCGTGATAGATTGTCCATGGTCAAGAACCCTGCACTGATGTAAAAAACTGGTATTACTTGACACCCCAGTAACACAGACTTTCCATTGTGTAACAGCGCTCTTCTGTGTTCCCAGTTATTTCACATCTGCTCACCAATGTACTGTACATATTTGGGCAGGTTTTTTTAAGCTGAAAACACAGAATTGTTAGCCCAAATGGCTTTCAGACATGCCTTGAGCATGCTTTTAATTTCCAGCTCATGTTCCTTTCAGAGGTTCTTGCTGTTTAGCAACTTCATTTGCATGAACAGACTCCTGAGTTTGCTATGAATTTGGCTGCGTGAACAAATGTAGAGCTCTGCTGATATACAGAGGTTCAACATCAAGATCTGAGCGATCCAACACTCACCTGAGCCTCTTCATAGATCCACATAACATTGTTCTGCAAAAATGGACCCTTGTTACACAAGTGATCTGTCCAGAGGGTGTATCAACTTGTTTTGGACTTATATGTTCCTTTTTCACTGCTGTTTTTTCCTTCAAGACGGGACGAGTAAGAAAAAGTAGGTTTCTATGTCTCTGAAAGTATGAGTAAATCTACACTTAACTGCAAGCCAAAAGCTGGGTTTCAGTTACTCTAGGCCTCCCTAACCTCCCTTTACGTGAGCTGGTCTGAATGTGAACAGGTTTAGTTTTCAGCTGGACTGTTAGTTCTGGTTAAACATTCAGAAAGCATCAACGCATCTTTTGAGCTGTGGTCCCAGGAATGGGTCACTCAGGCATGATCTGAATTTGGGCCTATGAGTTCAGAATAGATTCATAAAACTGTACTAAAGCTGTCTTCCATTACACTTCTTTTAAGAAGTACAAACCCAGAAACTTGAACAGACAAATGGAAGCCAAAACTGAGTGAGTTACCACTGAGATGTGTTACATGACTGCCTTCTTGCTTTTGTCCCAAACTAAAATAAAACATAAAGTGCCACGAAAATGGCTTAAACCAAGTTGTTGGGGTTTTTTCAATTTATACTTTATAGTTCAGTACTGTGCAATTATCCAAAATGCAAAATTAATTCTGCAGCTAAGTGATAGCCTTAGCAACTGATGCAATTGTACCACATCAACAGGCCTCCTCAAACGCTCCAGCGCGCTGGTGAAGGACTGCAGAGTAAAACATGGAAGGGATTCACTTTGGGACAGCTTTTAACTTACCATTTGGAATGACTGCTGTGATGTGACAGATCCGTCTTACCATCAGCAAAGGTATGTCCTAAGGGTCTGTGTGCACCTACAGACATTTACTGAGAGCAGTTGGGATAATCAAACCTACAGGAAGGTGTAGCGTAGAGCGGCGGGGTCAGTCTCTTCTCCCAAGGAACAGGCCATAGGACAAGGTAGGACAAAGGCCTCAAGTTGCGCCAGGGGAAGTTCAGATTGGATATTAGGAAAAATTTCTATACTCAAAGGGTTATTAAGCCTTGCAGTAGGCTGCCCAGGAAAGTGGTTGAGGCACCATCCCTGGAGGTATTAAAAAGCTGGGTTGACATAGTGCTTAGTGACATGGTTTTTATCAGGGTTAGGTTGATGGTTGGACTAGATGATCTTCAAGGTCCCTTCCAACCTAGGCAATTCTATGATTCTTGAACAAAAGCACATGTTGATTTTGTAAAGGTGACAGTTTGGAAAAAGACGTCCTGCCAAAAAAGAGCACAATGGTTTCTATAGAACAATCAGATTAAATCCCAGAATACTACTTTTTTGCCACTTTTCAGAGTGAAACTGCAATTAAAAGGAACAAACCTTAGCTGTTCCGAATATTCTATATAATATGCGTAGAATTTAAAACCATTTGACTTTATGGTTGAATTAGGTGAATTTAAAAATAACTTGCATATATTTTTCACCATATTTATTACAGGCAAGATTCAGTAACTTCCTTTTTCCTATAAGTCTGCTTTTGCTTCTCGCTTTTGTACATTTGTACAATGTAGTAACTACTGGTTTTCACTGCTTCAAGGTAAATCTAAAGTAAAGAGGTAAAGAAGTAAAATAGTTCATAGGAAAATTTTCAATATCTAGAACTGTCCTCTTACACCCACTTCAAATTTAGTAGCAACTTTGCACACAGATCAATAAAACTAAATCAAAATTAATGAAAAACCCCACTTCCAATACATTGTAGAATATTATTCAAACTGATTATGTTATTCAGATACATTAAATCAATATTCACAAGATTATTTCATTCCCACTGGCTTCAAGGGGCCAGCAAATGTTTGAAATTATTAATTTTTATCTTAATCTGAACAGGCTGACTGTGTAATATTGCTGGCTTTTCTATTTTAAGTGTGTCCGTGGTGAATTATACATAAAGAAACTGAACTTGGGAATCAAAAAAGTCAAATTTACTTTGATGAATTTCATATCCCTTTATTTTTAACATTGCTCCTTATTTCCATACCAGAAAGTTGTTATATTTGTTACCAGTCCAGACACTGAGTCATTCTTGTTTAAACCAGACACTGGGCTCTCTGTGTAATTTCTCTCTCCCCTTCAGAGCTGTTGGACCGAGAGGAAAATTGTAATGCCAGGTGCCTCCCCCAGCTCCGTTTCCAAAGGTATTACTGTAAAAACACACAGAGGTGCTAAACGCTGCCGAGCAGCAATGGAAATTCTTTGAGCTGTGGTTATTTCAGATGCAGCTAAGCTAAGAAATACCACCTTATTCTGACTATGCACAGACTTAGACTTTCCAGTTAGATTGCTTCATCTTCTCTCCAAAAACGTCTCTCCTGACAGTGAGAGCGTATCACTTATTTCATATGAGCTAACCTGCATTTAAAGGTAAGAACTCTGCAAGTTTCTCTGAATTATTTTTTTTTTCTGAAAACTTTTGTGGAGCTTTTAACAGAGCTGAAATTCAAAGATTTAGATGTTGTTCATATTTGGTATGATATTTATGTATGTATGTATTTATGTATGATATAAGTTTTAAATGCGGGTGGCGCTAAAAACTCGGTTGCTCTTCTTTTTGCAAACAAATAACCCCGAGTGCTGTTACCTTATGGCCAGTTAGAACAATGTCTGTTTTCAAAAATACCTGTTTGATTCTGAAGCATAAAATTGAATTTATTTTCTAAGAGATTCAGCTTCCTGACTCACTTCTCGGCTACCTGTGCGTAGGTGCTTAAGCCCATACACTTCATTGAGGTGGTACTTTAGTAACTATGGACGTCGAGAGAAGTTTGAAGAGTGCTTTCAAATCTGTCACTTTTCAGCAATTCTAGTCTTTACCACTAGATGGCTTCCCAGGATAGTGGATACGGATTCAGACCCGAATGGGATTGGATTAATTTGGGTACATTCTTAATGATATATACAGCCATAAGCCTGAAGTTCTTCCCAGCAGAGCTGAGAGGACAGCAATGGGAGGCTGCACCCTTGAGCACCTTTTGCCATCCTCAAAACAACCCTCAAAGTTGGGTTATTCCTGATCGGGGCCGCAATTACAAACCGTGCACCAGCAGCTGAGTTCAAATGTGCAGTTTGATCCTCCTCAGCAATGCTTAATAGGAATAACTGAAAACATCGTTTACCTGCCTAATATTTAACCCTGCAAACCACCACATCGGGGGACCTGGTTGCAATACATTTTGCCCTTTCTCCTGTTACAGCATAGTTTAAAGCGCTATGGAGACCTTCTTGTGTTGCAACTCTGCCCTCATAACTGGGCAAAAAATGTCTTGGAAAAGGAGAGAAAACACCCTTTGTTGTGAGAAAGTGAGTCTCCCTGCTTCGGTCAGAGCTGCCTTTTTTTGCCCCGCACTTAAACCCCCGGTGTCAGCAACATAGGCTCGGAAAATCCATGGGCTGTCACAGTGTCCATAAACCCCCTGGTCCAACGGCAATGGACTGAGGTGATGATCAGCCCGGGCTGGACTCAGCCCTGACCTTGGGGCCGAGAGACCTTTTCCCGTCTTATCTCGGGCGAGCAGATCCTCTGCCCGAGCGCCCTGAGGCAGGGCTGGCTCCCTTAACTCAGCCCTCACCCCGGCTCTTCCTGGAACCGCGTTTCCCCGGGCTCCGGCCGCTCGGTGACACCCCGGGCACGGTGTGGGGTGGCAGGGGCCGGCGGGCTCGGTGACAGTGTGCCCCGGGCACGGTGTGGGGGCGGCGGGGCCCCGGCTGCCAGCCCAGCGAGGCTCCCGGCGAGCCCCGACTCGCCGCCCCGCAGCCCCAGCCCTGCCTGCGAGGGCGAGTTTCTGTGCGGTGGCTGCCGGAGGGCTCCGGGGGAGGGGAGAGCCCGAACCAGCCACTCACAGGAACAGTAGTGAAATCTCCCCAACACTTTAACTGTCAATCAGGCTTAATGGGGTATAAAAACTCCCCAGCGCCGCGGCTGTGATAGGCAGAGAGAGCAATAGGGAGAAATGAGTAAGAGCCAGAGCTGAAATAGTGTACGGCGTAATTCCTGCTCTGTGATCACAGCTCCTCCAAGTGAGAAACCCAGGAGAGGGGGCAGAGAGAGGCGGTTATCAGCTCAACCTTTGCAACCGGCTCAGGACAGAACGTCTATAGATATTTATAGATATTAAAACAAAAACAACAACCTTGCCCTGAATAGAGTCTTTCTTAAAAAGAAGGTCCTGGCAATTCTGTCTTATTTAAGCAATTTCCTGAGTCTAAGAATAGAAATGAGCTGCCTGGAAGGCACTGCAGGCTGAAATTTGGAGACATAGGCTGCTTTATTTTATTTTTCCAAGTATAAAAACCTTCTATTTGGATACTGGATTTTTATGTTGATCTTTGAAGCAGAGGGATATATGGTTACTTTTAATTTTACTTTTTTCTCTCTCTCTTTTAATTTAAAAAAACTGTCTTCCAGTTAAAGAGCAAGGAAACCATTTTACCTGCATGTGACAATCCCAGAGGACACCGATCAAGAAACAGGGGAGTGACTTGATCTTCTGCACTACTTTACTCCTGCCCCATTTTTTTTTTTTTAAGGGGGAGAGAAGGATTTTTCCAGTCCAAGAATCTCTTGCCCCCTAAGTTTTGGAAGGGGGTTGAAGACTTGTCACCCGTCTGGGGGTGCATGAAGGGTATTGGTTTTCTTTCCCTGTTAACTTGGCTTTGTGAAGGGTTGGAAGAGAATTTTGCCTTCCTGACTTGCCTGGAAGAAGAGGATGATTTGGAAATGGCTGGGCGCTTTGCTGCTTTTCCCCGTGCAGATGGTTTATTTGGTGGTGAAGGCTGCTGTGTGCATGGTGCTGCCGCCCAAGCTCCGAGACCTGTCCAGGGAGAACGTGCTCATCACCGGAGGGGGCAGAGGCATCGGCCGCCATCTGGCCAGGGAGTTTGCTAAACGAGGAGCCAGAAAGGTGAGCACCAGCACGGGGGGGACGGGGGGAGGAAGCTCCCACACGGAGGGGACGGGGGGAGGAAGCTCCCACCTGCTGCTCCCCTGGGGAGTCCTCTGACCCAGAGACCCAAAAGCCTTTTCCCTCACCTCTAGGAGGGATTGATGGGATCACTTTGGGAAGGTGAGAGGGGAGAAGGGGCACTCGTTTTGCAAAGCTCTGGCGTGCTGAGCCATTGCGTTGACTTACATTTTCAAAGTTGCCAGCTCCTCCTTCGCTGCATCCCGTCTCCCCATCTCACCTAAGAAAATGTAAAGGTGAGAAAGGGGCCCCCTTCGTGAGTTCTCCTCTGGGGACAAAGGAGAGGTTTTGGCTCCAGCCTGGGTTTCCTGTGGCGGGGAGAGGAGAGCTGTGTGACTGCCATGTGTGAAGCTAGTGCTCACTGGCGTTTCTGTTTACGAGGCTGCTTCCTGGCTGCCGGGACCGTGTGCGAGCAGAGAGAGGGGGCAGCGGCTGCTGGCGCCAGCCCTCCAGGCTGACCCATCTCTGGCTCCCCTTGGGGACAGCCAGGCTGTCACTGCCGTGCCTGTCACCCCAGCGCAGAGGGGCTTGGCTCAGAGAGGGGCAAACGGTGTGTGCAGGAAGGTTCTGGCTCTCCGTCCAAATAATGCATTTTCTCAGGAAAGTGGGGAGAAGGGTTCACTTTCACCCCAGTGGTTTTCCATTTGGAAACTGATTTCTTGTGCTTTCTGCAATCCCCTGTATTTTGCTTTTTGCCAGCCCAGAGCTGCTCCAAGGTAAGATGAATGAGACCCCAGCAAGGAAGAAAAGCACCACATGAGTAGGAGCTGTGAGACTGTTTGCACGTTTCCTTTAGGAAAGAGGGAAAGGGGGAGAGGCTAAGAGACTGGTCTGTCTGCACAGCAGCCCAGAAATGCCCGTGTGGGTGGTGTGTCCATTCTCTAGCTCGGGAACTGGTGGTTTACCTTGAGACTTTGTGTTTTTGTAAGTATAGGTGTCTCCCTATGTGTGAATCAATCAGGAATACAAAACCCACACACACCCTGAAACGAGGCTTGAGATTTAAAGTTCCATCTCTCCCTTTAATGGGTAATGAAAGGGAGGAATTGTGAAATTAGACAGCTGCATAAATACTTCTCCGTGTGAGAGAGGATGAATGGAGAATAAAGAAGACATACAGAATGAGAGGATATTTAAAGAAAAATTTGCATTTAGTTTGGGGTAGTGTTTTGTCAGTTCCTTACACACACACCACAGTTTTCTCTGTGTGGTACAGAGCTATTCTGGCACACAACTCAGAGGTGTAAAATATGTCAGCATTGAACTTTGATGTTTGTATATGCTTGTGTTTAAACATTGTGTTGAGATTTACAAATTCTTGGAGGCAGAGCAAACAAGTTGACTGACCTTTGGACCCAAGCAATTTGCTGGAAGTGTATTTATATTATCTGTTAGAACACCATGCTTCATTATTTATTTATTTAGGCTGGCTGGTTGCTATGCGAAGCTCTGCTATTGAAGTACTACCATTTCTCCAGCTAATTGGAGAGCTGCTCAGCTGCGGTTCAGCTGGGAGCAGAACAATGGCACTCGGTTCTGCTGAACCAGGTGACAAGGGCCAAAAGGAGAAGGAGCCATTTAGGATACAGAGCTGAGGATGAAATGACTATAAACAGATATTGCCTGTAGTTCATTTGTACGTCACATAAAATCTCGACATATCTTAGAAGGAAAGAATCAAAATTGTTGGGAACCCTTGTACTTGCCTCATACGACGTTGTGAAATGCTGTGTGGGTGCTAGTTATTGTTTAGAACTTTGAGGGGTTTTGCCTCACAGGGTTTTTTCATGTCTGTCACCAAGGTGCTTCGGTTTTTGCTTTTACTGAATTTGAAGTAGCTTCTCCTTTCAGCTATGTCATGGCTCTCCAGTCAGTCAAATATGGCACTCATCAAGCTCTGATCCCCTCTGGTAGCAGCACTGCCTTTTGCCTTTGGTGGTGGCACATTTGCCCTGCAACACTCGAGCAGCTTATTCTTCTCTTCCTTCACATTCTTAATGGCAATTTTACCCAGATGTGGTAGTGTCCATTCCCTTTGCTGCGAGATGTCATTTCTTTCCTGCCTTCTGTGCTCAACATAACTTTGTGGACTGTAATGCCATTTCCATGCAGAATGCCAGACCTCTGTTTGGCACCACTCTTCGATTTTATGCTTTGCCTCAGACAACCAAAAAGCAACGGAAGAGACTTGAAGGGGCGAGTTGTCTTTCAATAAGGCTTGTGAAAATTAACTGTTCTATTTTTCTATTGTCTTCTTATGCAGTTAACCATTTTACAATGATATGCAAAGCTTGATTTATTGATCATAATTAATAATTTATAACAGATTCTGATTATCAGATGGTGTAGTCACAATATTCCAAGTTTAGAACCACACTTCCACCAAAGGCGTGAAATTCGGAGGCCAAGCACAGTGTTACATAGAGGAGAAAGGAAGCAGTAACATATTGATCCAGATTCTAATAGTGGGGGTGCAGCATATCTTGAAAAAATCATCACAGCGCTTGCGCACACAGACATAGTGGCGGAGTTTTGGAGGTAGGCGGCGATATATAACCATATTTTTGAGATTAGAATCTTTTGAAAGATAGGTTAGTTGAGACTGTAGCATATGACATTTCCTCTGATAATTAGACTGGATTGGATTTCATCTTACACTGAGTTCAGAGGCTGGTTTTGTTAATCACAAATGAGATGTGTCTGAGCAGTAAGGTGACAAGTGTTGTATCTCACTAAGATTGTGAATTGTCACATCTGCAACTTTTTTACCTTAAAATTTGATCTTGCATTTAAAGCTATGAAGATGACAAGAAATCAATCGAGAAAGGGTTTATGCAAATGGAAATACAGTGTCTTCTGCTCTATAGATGAGGATGAAGACCGAAATTCTCAATCCAACGGAATGGAAGTCTCTTGGGCGTGATCGTGTAAATCCATCCTGATTCCCATTCTCTATGCCCATTCTTTTACACCCATTGTGCCTCGGATATGACTTGGACAAATAAGCACCGTTTCCTTCTAAGGTGATGTTTCTTTTCTCACGGTTGTTTATTGGCCTCTCTGATGAAATGGCCAATAAGGAGACAAAGTGGTGTCAGAGGTGCATGTCTTCTAGTTTTTCCAGTTAAGGCTACCAGTGATTTTTAGGCAAAGAGACTCTAATCACTAGATCATCCCTGTTCAATGTACGCTAGGAGGTCAAAGGATCCATCTGCATTTTTACTTTTGGGTAGAAGTTTTCAAAAACTACTTGGTGGTGGGAGGAATTGTGTATTTAATGCTTCCTGTAGCGCTTCAGGAAAAAAATTAAAGCTTGTAAATATGCTGGATGCAGAGAAAGAGTGGTTTACAGATGACACTGGACATGTTAGTGTTATTATGAGGGATGAATAGCATTGAAATTTCTCCGGAAGTACTCGAGTATTGTAATTCAACTGTCATGCTGTTCCCCAGAGATGTGTCCAGATTCAGAAGTGCCGGCTGAGAGTTACTTTGCTGTGGCTGAATTGCTGGAGAAATGGACTTTTTTGCTTTCAGTTCCTTCTTGGTTGCTCGCAAAGTTCAAAATTTCCACTATTGTTGGCTTTAACTCTTGAGAATTTTGACTACCCTTCAAAAGTATTTGACCAATAGAGCATCACCTCTGCCTCAGTAGCTTTGTTAAGGCTTTTAGCTTTTGATATTCTGTGGTTAGCCAAAACCGCAGAGTATATCTGGGTTAATGAAAAGGGAGAATGAGTTATTTTTATGAGTTTATGATTTAATGCCTATGAAATAAAAAGCCACTTCCAAACCCTAATGGGTGTTTTGCAAAGACTATACTGTATAATGAAGTTAATATTGGGAGGACTGGCCCCTTTGAACAATATTTCTTGTGTGGAAGAACAGCCCTCTACAGATGTGAGTAGTCCAGGGGGTGCAGGGGCTGAATGGGTTCATTCACTGCTGGTGAGACTTGGAAAATGCTTCTGGTTTCCTCCAAGCCATTTGCTTTTCCTACAGCATTTTCTATTACAGTGCCCTTGCCAGAGAGTTGTCAGCCCTGGTTTTGATGATTTCCAGTGATGAAGTTTTGATTTGTATGTGTTTTGTATAAGTCATTTGTATATCTTGCTCTTATTTAGGTTTTCTTTTAGGATATTTCCTTGATGTCTAAAAATTTTCCTTGTAATTTCAATTTACTTTGTTCACACATTATTTAATCTGGGGTCAAATTGAACAGGAGAGAGATGCTTGGTTCTTAGGCATTCTGGATTATTAAATAAATTAAAACCTAATAGAAGTAATTGAAAAAGATATAATTATATAATAGAAACAGATTATCCAACTCTAGTATATAATTTAGTCTTCAAGGTTATCTGACAGTGACTTTTGCAGAGTTTCTTAGGCCTTTCCTGTTGGGAGACTGGTCAAAAGCCATTGATTTTCATTAGGTTTTTTATTAACACTGAGGGGCCTGTGCTCAGAAATCAGCAATATGAATCTCCAGTAGCATCTGCAAGGGATCTTATACAGCAGTGCTTTTCTAGTGTTCCTTTGTGGTCATTCCTGTGATCTGTTTCTTTCCAAGTACCTATATTTTGCTTTCCAATTTTGCTTTTGGATTTGTTGTGTTTGGGTTTTTCCCCCCTCCAGGTAATAAGAAATGGGGGGAGGAAGGGGCAGGGAGGAAGGGAGGAGGAGTGTACAAGCCCCCACTGCTGCTGACACCCAGAGCCCGTGTCCCTCCATGTCCCTCTGAATCTAACAGAACTGAAAACCTCAGAGGAATTGCAGGTGCTTGAGAGCTGTGTTTAATTGGAGAGTTTTGGCTGAGTGAGATTTTAGGCTATAAATTCTGTTTAGGTTGAGAGCATTGCAGAGAGGTTATGTAAAAAATGGCGACAGGTCTTAGAATTTAGCCTTGTATTCCCAGTAATGGAAAATTTGGCAGGTTTTGA